ATGTGAGGCTGCATTTAGTTAAAGGGGTAATCGAGCGTGGAGAAGTCCAAGTGTTAAAGCGTTCGATAAATCATAATGTTGCTTATATGATCACCAAGATGTTGCATAGTTGCAAGTTTCTCCACTGTATGCAATTGATAAAGTTGGATGAAGAAAGCTAGTTCCTTGATATTATAGAGTTAAATCCAAGGTGGATATTTGTGAGATATTGGATCGAACTCTAGTATGGTCGAAGGGTAGCTTCTGATTCGATAAAGATTAAGCATGAGGTCGACGTCTATTCACATGTTGCTGTCGGAGTAATGCGTGTTGTTGTCGAAGTTTGTTCTAAGATGCATTAATAAATATTGCTAGGTTTGTTAGAATATTGAATTAGGCCTTACTTGTAAGCTCAATTGTTTAAGTTAGCTTGTACCCTAAGTTAGCTTGTAATGGGTAATTGTTAAAAAGCCCATTAGGTTAGTGTGCTAATTTTCTTATAAATAGCATGCTAGTCTCTCATCTTAGCATAAGGAAAAATAGGAAGATAAAATCCTAATTCAAGTGAGAGAGGTTATTTTTTTTATTCTTGTATACTTGTAATCTTGTTCTAAGAGAAAGGAAAGAATACCAGTTTATAACCAATCCTTGTTATTTCTTATTGTTTTACCTTGTTTTCTGTGTTAACCTTAACCTTTGTGTGTTTCTTGATCATAAAGAAACCGCTTATATTTTGTTTCAAGGTATCTGATTCACAATAATTACCTTCATTTGTTATCATGTGAGATGTATCCCCGATGTTAATTAACAATTGTCAGTCAAGAGGAGCAATAGATAGAGTGTGCATATTGGCTTGAATATTTGTTGGTGCATATGATGACTCAGTTGTAACAACATGCGCTTAATGTGGTTTTACCCCAAGAATAATATGTTGATGATTTGAAGCTATTGGATTTTTCCAATTGCTAGTTGTAAGATAAGGGCAAGGAGGAGTGGTCCACGACTGTCACTGTGAATTCAAAGGTGGATAGGCACATTGATGTTTGTAATGCATGTTGCTGATACCATGGTCCATGTTAATGATGATGGTTATGATATCGTCTGCGGCCGCGATCACCACAGTTATGGCCTGAATCTCTACGACCACTATAACCTTCATTGTTGTTGTTATTATTGTGGTTGGGACGATGATAAGGTGAAAATTTGGAGTTGTCTTCTTAAGAGGCTAGAAAAAATGGAGTTGTCAGTGGTAGTAACTATTTTTTTTGCACATGTCGTTTATTCTAAGACAACCATAGATCGGGCCTTGCAAAAAAGAGGAAGAGTATTGAAATGGTGAAATTGGAAGCTGATAGTAGCATAAGCATTAGAAAGGCTAGAGATAAGTTGAAGCACCATATGTTTATTTGAAACAGATGCACAAACATGAGACAAGTTGAAACGCCATATGTTCGTTTAAAATAGATGCATCAATATTTGAGAGTTGGTTAGAAAGAGAATTGATATGTTTGAAGTATGATGTTGCATCAAAAAATTGTTACATTCTAAGTATGGAATTTTTTTTCTTTGGGTATAAAGCTTTTGAATTTTTGTTATCAAAAAAATATATTAAAAAGAAAATCCCAAGCAAGTTGAATGGTGGATCAGCGTTTAATAATGATATGAAAAATATTAGTGGATAGTGTCATAAATCCGTTGTCAAAAAATAACATTTAGGGTTGGATCAATTTCTTTGAGAGAGGATGAAGAAGATGTGGCATCAGTTGGTGATGGTGAGATAATGTGGTTGAGAACTTCCTATGCCCTGACATGGATTTTGAGCAATTAAGACCATGCTTTTGTACTTTATTTTCTCAATGTCAATAGTGGATTTGATGAAGTTTATGATTTTGAAAATAGTGAGTGCATGATAAATGTCATAGATGGTGGTTTTGGAAGTGAATTTGAATGTTGATTTTAAAGACTGAGGATGAGTAATTTTGACAATGGTGATTTGAAGGATAGGACCGACGAAAAATTTAAAAGAAAAAGAAAGAAAAAGGTGTTTCTCGGGATCTCAACTTAATCTAATACTCACTTTGTCCCACGATGAGTGATCTAGTTGACCATTTCATACATATTAAGAAAAAAGAATAAATGAAAGAGAGTGAATGATATTTTTACTAACTTATCAAGTATTGAGAATAATTAAAGTAATATTAATTAGATGATAGAATTGAAAAAGTGCATTGAAAATTGGAATGAGACATTTATTTTAGGACACTTTTTTTTTTAATTTCAAATGGATCACTTATTGTGAAAAGGGGTGAGTACCATGATAAAATAATTGATTTGCCACATTATATATATATATATATATATATATATATATATATATATATATATATATATATATATATATATATATATATATATATATATATATATATATATATATATATATATATATATATATATATATATATATATATATATATATATATATATATATATATATATATATATATATATATATATATATATATATATATATATATATATATATATATAATATTAATCAATATTGATTCTACAAAATTAAAACCTACTTAATTTATACTAAATTATTACTAAAAACTATTTAATATGTATTAAAGTAAAGTACTATTAAAGGTTGAGAATATTTCATATTTTGTACAAGTTAACATATGAAATTTTAGTTATAAATGAGTGCTTGCTTATGAGCAGGAGAATTAGCCTCTGTTCTTTATTTTGTTTAGTAAATATGATACTCGTATTTGTTTCATATTTATATGAGTATTTGTTAAGTATATATCTGAGATTTTGAGATATCTGAAAATATTTATAGATACATATGAATTTTTTTTAATTGTAATTTATTAATTTTTTTTATATATGATATAAATAGAAAGTTATGTGTATAACTTTTTAAAGAAGACGCAAGAAGAAAGAAAAACGTAAGAAACTAAGGTTTTAAATGAAAATGAGATGATGTCAAAAATAAATAAAATGAAAACAAGATTACCAAGTTAAATTAAGGGGTTGTTAATGAAAAGAATTTATCAATTATAATAATTTTAAAAGATATTTAAGTTAATTTTTTTAATTATTAATGAATACAAATACTCGCATAAACAAGTACCATCAAATCTGTACTTATGCTCGCAAACAAACGAGTAATTAAATATCTATTTATTTTACTCGTGGGTATCTATTAATCTATACAACTCACATTTGTGACATATTTTATCTGCGAATACCCACGAATATGAGTTTTATTGTCATCCCTAATTTTAATACTTAATGTCGGAATATTTTTACATTATTAATATATTATAATTATTAATAAATATGATTTTAAAATAATTTTAATTTTAATTATTTGATAATTATATGTAATTAATAGTGTAAAAACACTTATATCAATAATATATAAATTAAATTATTAGTTTCCATAATATATAAATTAATTTTACTTTTGAACAAGCAAAAGTTTTATTAAAACTCATGCATAAGATATGCCAAAACAAACATTACAACAATGTCTAATCAAGACTACAATGAAACCACCACAACAGATAACATGCTATAACACTTGAACATAAACAACACTCAATTCTATCATAATCACCCTGCTCCAATGCTTCAAAAAGAGTTGCATTGAGAAATACCAAAATCTCCATCCATCAGGACTAGCACCAATGGGCCATGATAGACCAATCACCTCTATCCACCGATACCTTACCACAGACAGGAGAGAACACGACTCTCTCCGCAATCCTATACTAATTAATGTTAACACTTTAGATCTCAAGGGTATCCAAAATCCTCAAATGAAACAATCATGCACAACAGAACACAAGCAAATACCCCACAAAACTCTTACACATGCCCAAACGGCCTATTTCAGGTGCTGAAGACCCAGAACAAGTGCATAGTAAAACACAACACTCCTACAACCAGCCACCGTATCAAAACAGACATATGTATGATAGTCTGCTAATACGATGAGGCCGAAAACCTCACCACCGATATGATTTCAAGTGCTGAAGACCCAGAACAAGTACATAACAAAACACAACACTCCTACAACCGCCACCATATCAAAACAGACATATATATGATAGTCTACTAATACGATGAGGCCGAAAACCTCACCACTGATATGATCTATCAAGCTGCAGACCACCAACCAAACTCACAAGCACCAGTGATATAATTCAATTAGTCAAATACTTATGACAATTTTCTACTACAAACACATCAACCAAAAAGAGCGCATAGACCTTACTCAATTCACCACCAAGATGCCGAGTTGCTCAACTTATGTGCTGAAGGCATTATTGAAGAAACATAACACTTGTCACACACACAACTAAATGGAATATTGCAACCTTAAGGAAAGACTCCAAATGAACTCCCAGCGAACCCCACCACTAAATGGAATACTACAACTACAAATTAAACTCACTTGAAATAAATAATTTATGGGTAATGCTAACTTGTGCCCTAGGGGCACAAGTTAAAAAACACATTTATAGTAAATTTGTATTAGAAACATCAATAAAATATTAAATTTTATATTTTTATTAAAAGGAGTGCACAATTTCCAAATTTAATTTCTATTTTTAATTCTTGACACAAATTAGCATTACTCATAATTTATTTTTGTATAATATAAATCTAATATATATTTTTTATTTTCAATCTATTTGATACGTATGGTATTTAATAAGATATTGTTGTCACCAAATTAAAAGTATGCAATAAAGAATAGGTATAGATCAAGTCATAACTACTATTAACTACTATTAACTATCGAAAATTTGCAAATCGTAATTTTGAATAGTCAAATGAATAGATAGAAGTAATGACAAAATTCCGTTACTAAAATCCAAAATCACAAAAACTCTTACATGAAGAAGCAACTTTTGACACTTTATAGTCGTCACAAACCTTAAAGTTATAGCCAAATCAAACAAAAATACTAGAATTTCGTTTTGTTGAGAATTTCTTAAAACATGAAAACAGAGCATAATAAAAGACTTTCACTTTCATCTTCGTTTTCAGTTATCAAAACGATCACAAAAATAGCTAAACCGGCAGCGTATTTTATCCTTCTCGTGCTAACTTACACCTTAGGTTACCTATCTCATTCTTCTTCTTCTCCTTTATTACCACCACCAAAACTCCTGCCGGCGACGGTATCACCACCATCATCACCGACGCTGTCATCACCACCACCATCACCGAAGCTTCATGTTTCATCTCCCGTTTACCGCTTACCTGTGATCAACACAACCGAGCTCGAACCATTCCGAGTGAAAACATCTTGCGCCGAACCAATTCCACCGGAGAATATTCGCAACATACTTATCGACGGTATCTTCGACGGAGTCTCTCCGTTTGTCGACTTTCCTCCGCCACACGCGGAGGAGATGCTGCGTCGGAGTAAAAAAGTCACAGGTTGGGGTTCACACGGCGCCGTTTTCGGGAACTTAATTCGTAAAGTCCAGCCTCGGATAATCGTTGAGGTTGGAACGTTTCTCGGTGCTTCAGCGATTCACATGGCTGAGTTGACTCAGCGACTCGGGCTCGAAACTCAGATTCTCTGCATCGATGACTTTCGTGGTTGGGCCGGGTTTAGAAACCAGGTAAAAAACATAGCCATGTTAAACGGTGACGTTTTGCTTTATTATCAGTTTCTTCAAAATGTTGTTACTTTTAATCAAACCGGGTCTATTTTACCCGTACCGTTTTCGAGCGGGTCTGCGTTATCAAAGCTTTGTGAATTGGGTATTTGGGCCGATTTGGTAGAGATTGATGCGGGTCATGACTTTATATCTGCATGGTCGGATATTAACCGGGGTTATCGGATCGTCCGACCCGGTGGGATTATTTTTGGGCATGATTATTTCACTGCTGCAGATAATAGAGGAGTTAGAAGAGCTGTTGATTTATTTGCCAAAATTCACAATCTTAAGGTGAATGTTGATGGCCAACATTGGGTTATATACCCCAATTATATAAAATAACATTGGTGTATAAAATAATTAAAATATATTTGAATTATATAGCTCAGATATATTATTCTTCAATAAATTTGAAAAATATTTTTTTAATTATATAAAAATTAGAGAGTATTATATATAATATGTGATTTTTAGGTGTATAAATTTATTATTAAGAAGAATGGTGAGTATAAATAAAATGTGTGATTTCTTTTTTACTTTTTAAAAATGTTATTATTCCTCGAACTTATTGACCAGTTGAAAGTATCAATTTCTTTTCAATTTATGGCAAGGCATTACTGCACTTCAACACAATTTTTTAAGTGCTATTATAATTAAGTAGAATTACAGTAATTTATACTTTCCTAATTTTATTGGTTTGTTAATCCTATGAATTTTTTAGTTTGATTCTAAGTTTCTAACAGAACATATAAGTGTTTGCTGTAAAAGGACAAAGAATATGTAAATTGTATGTGTAGTTACGGAATATAGAAACAAGGAATTGTACTTGTATCAGAAAAAGAAAGAAAAAAAATGGACAAAAATAGGAATGATACCACACTCATGTCACCATATGAAAATTCAATTATTTTTAACAAAAATCAAAACGGATGGTTAGTTTAAAAAATGACCAAAGAGATTATATACTCTCAATATGGAAATATTCTTAAGTTTTACGACATAATCCAAGCTTCTTCATTCATGTTTGAAGCCACACCATTTAAATGCTTATAAACCTCCATTTCAGTCTTAGTTTGTGTTCGTTTAAGAACTTATAAGAAACGACGAGGTGGTGGAGTCGTGCATTTGGTCTTGGAGCAATACTTTCGATACGACAAAGTTGAGTGGATTTGTAAGATTAACAATTCTAACGTCAAAGTCAGTGAGATAAATTAGAAGTGAAGTATGAGTGAGAATGATTTGAATACCTGAAATGATGTGCTTTATCATTATATATCAAGAGCGGTTGAAACTGTTCTCGCATGAAGCGACGTGTTGTGCGGACAACCGTCATATTAAATTGTATGAAGATTGATGCATTGGAGGACAAAATCTTTTGCTCCTGGTCAGATTGTGCTTTTGTATTTGAAATTCGCTTACGGTTCAAACCAGTTGTCTCCCAAGTTTTTGTTCTTACTTTGTAGAATAGGGGCTCCGTCATGTTCCCCTTTAGGTTGGCTGTTAGCCGAAGTAATTGAAGAGTCTTTATGGGACGTCTCTAGTATTTGAAATCGATGCATTAAATGTCTTTATCTCAATAGACAGTGTTTCACTGAGAAGTATTAACACGTGTCTCTATGTCTGACAATAATGATACCCCCTTTGTCTTAGGATACAAAGACTATGTACCACTCTCGATGAGATCTTAATAATTGATGGTGTGGTTTACGCTTCTTAGTGGAATTGTCCACACGATTCATATATATATATATATATATATATATATATATATATATATATATATATATATATATATATATATATATATATATATATATATATATATATATATATATATATATATATATATATATATATATATATATATATATATATATATATATATATATATATATATATATATATATATATATATATATATATATATATATATATATAAAATGAATTCTTGAACTACTAGCTTCTCCTTATTTTGTTATTTGTGAATTTTTTTAACTCTTCTCTTCTTTTGCTAGCAACTTCTTCTTTTGTGGCAATTCTTTCTGCATTGTTTTGCATATCTAGCCTATTCGTGTAGCTCCTTTTGGAATCATCTTTAACGCATGAGCCATTATCTTTGTTTCTTCAATGTAATACTTATGCCTTATTCTTTCTTTCTTTGTTAGTGTTTTTTAGAGAAGGGGGTTACAAAATTTCTGATCTTTCTGTTTTGCACTTTGATTAACCTCTTTGATAGGGATGTTATATTTAACATTAAATATGACTTAGGATGCTACTCATATGTATTTCTTTTTGTGTTGGCATAACCTTTTATCATGGAGGAGTCTCTAACCCGAATACGAAAAAAAGTCTAAGGATAACTCGACGACTTAGGTTGATTAAGAGACGTTGGATATTGCCTTCGTCTTTGTAGGTGAGGGCGACATAGACCATGTCTTTGTTGAGCTAGGGTCCTCGTCATATTGGAGGTGCTTTCCCCTAAGGAAGATAAGAGAATATGCAACAAATACGATGAGTGTGTTGTTCCTCTTCATGAATGCCTGGTTTTTTTAATAGATTTTTGCCTTCTTTTCAACGACTTTGAGGTTGACGTTCTTAATCATTTTCTAATTTCTCCTTCAAAATTACATTAGATGATCTAAGCTTTGTTAAAAAAATAAAGAATAAAGAGAAAAAAAAAGGAACACAATAACAACACAAGAGATTAACATGGAAATTTCAAACCAGGAGAAAAAACCATGACCGCTGTCAAATGACAGCCAGAGAATAACAGTATGTGAAAATTATTACAATACATAGACTATGCTTAACCACCCCAATGATATAAGAGAAAATATAAAAAGTCAAATATAGTATAAGAGAAAGTATAAAAATTCAAATATAAGCTTAAAGTGCTTTTGATTGGTGTATCTTGGAATAACAGTATGGTCTGGGCACATAGGCAGATATATATGGCAGTATGGTCTAGGCACATAGGCAGCAATGAAAACTCTATAGAGCCTCCTCCAAATACCTGAGGTGGCAGTGACTCATCATCCTCAACAACTTGAGATGACCCTAACTCAGCAGCCTCATTAGCCGAAGGTGGTAATGGCTCATCAGCATGAGGTCCCTCCGGTGCCTGGGGTGGCACCAGTGCCTTAGGTACCACCGGTGACTCAGGTACCTCTGGCGCATGAATAGGTAAAACTTGTCACCTGCGGGAGGATGGAGGCAGTAAAGCGTTAATAGGTGAAACCCGTCTCCTACGGGAAGAAGAAGATGGAGAAGCATGAGCCCTAGAAGTCGATGTCTCTGCATGAATCAGGCTAAAGTAAACAGGAGCCTCTAAATCTTGACTATTCTCCCTTAGGATTGATGCAGGCTATGCAATACTCTCGTGCTCAATATGTCGTCTTTATCAACCATAATGCTCGTAAGCAAACCAGACAATTAGTACAAGCAACTATACAAGCAAGAAAATCAACAAAAAAGAATGATAATTTACGAAGATGCATCTTTGGTTACTGGAAATCCAAACATTGAAAGTTTCGGAGATGCATCTCCAGAATTTTCTGCAACTTTTCATGTTTATTAATGGTGGTAATGCAGACCGTTAAACCCCAAAAATAATGGTTTGATCATTACTTTTAACCATCAAACATGTTTTACAGTATGTATAAATTATCATTCATGTAATTTCTACTCATTTCTTACTTATATCATCAACTTTTACTCATTTATATAGAAACTCAAAAAAAATTCAAAACATCAAAAACTTACAAATTGGGAGTTTACTTCAGTGTTATATGATGTCTCTGATGTACTTGATATTGATGGAAGAACCTTTGAACTTGGTTGATGGAATAACCTTTCAGAAATTTTGAGAAAGTTTTATGTTTTTTTAGAAATGAGGAAGGAAAAGGTTCTGCCGCGATAGAGAGCCAATACCGTTCGGAGATGCATCTCCAAAATAATTACGAAGATGCAGATCCGAAGTTTTTAACGTTAAGTTAAATTTCTATTTACTCAGAATGCATTCGGAGATCCGTCTCCGAAAATTGATGACATATTTGTATTTTCACATGGTGCCCTAGTAATACATAGGCCACATTAAGAAATTCCCTATTAGCTAATACTTTGGACGAGATCAGATCAAATATTTAAGGAGAAAAAACCCAGAATAGCATTTCTACTTAAAGAGACTCTCGCCTCATGTTTGAGTGTGTGCACTAGGATTAGAATCTTTGTGCTAGGGGTTTTGTTGATTCTTTTATTTGTGTTTCTTGTACACCTCATTATTATTTCATTCATATCATAAGGTATATTTGTTGGTTTGTTTAGTTAATTTGTGTTAAATATTCATCATTGTGTTTATTAATGTTGATCACTTGGGATTATTGATTGAGAGAAAGTGAGAAGGGGGGGGGGGGGTTCTCATATTTAAGGGGAGACCTAAATTGAAAGATACAGAGGGTAGAATTAAGAAGAGTTGCATTGAGTAAATGGCTTATTCATCTAAGACACTTTTTAGTAGTTCTATTAAAGAGTGAATTTCCTTTCTTGGGTAGAGTTCCCTTTAAACGTATGTGTTGTTTGCACCAAATTGGGTTGCCAATTCTCTTGTGTTCTTTATTGTTTTCACTTTAATCATGTGTTACTGTCATATTATGCTTATCCTTGTATAACAAATTGGACAAGTTGTCCCAAACATCTAGTCCAACATATGTCCCATAAGGAATACATTTTCAAATGGCATCAGAGCCAACACCCTGTTCTATTTGGGTGAGCTCCAGGAAAGATATTTTTTGTTCATATGAACAACACAAAGGATGGAGGTTCTATCAATATACCACCTATTTTAGATGGCACCAATTATGATTATTATAAAGCTAAGATGTCTGCCTTTTTCAAATCCTTAACAAAACTTGGAAGGTTGTGATTAAAGATTGAAAACATCCTATGGTTACTTCTCAAGATGGTAGAACAAGTTTGAAGCCTGAAGCTAATTGGTCCAAAGATAAAGATGTTGAAGCTCTTGCTAATGACAAATCCTTGAATACCATATTCAATGGTGTTGAAAAAACATATTCAGACTAATCAACACATGTACTGAAGTTAAAGAGGCTTGGGAAATTCTCAAGATTGCTCATGAAGGAACATCCAAAGTGCGTATGTCAAGGCTGCAACTTCTCACAACCAAGTTTGAAAATTTGAGAATGATGGAAGATGATCCCATACCTGATTTCAACAATTGTACTCGTGATATAGCCAACAAATCACATTCCTCGAGAGAAAAGATGTCAGAAAGAGAAGCTAGTGAGAAAAAGGTAATCAGATACCTGATTTCAACAATTGTACTC